GCGCAGCGCCAGCCCCGCCTCCGCCCACTGTGCCAGCCCGCTGTGCATCTGCGCCAGCTTGTGCACGTACCTACACACAACATGTTTTTTTTTCTTTTTGTAAGCGATTCTACTTATTATAACAGAACCAGAAAAAAAACTGACACGAAAATATTCAACCATTGAGCTACAAATGATAAGATAAAGTGACAAACATTTTCCTGCGACAAAAACGCGACCGGAGTTGTCATGAGACACATAACGTCAATTTCATTCATAACATACGCTCAGATGTCACTTCGATGTAAAAAACAACAAAGTATCTTATTGCTTCTCAAGGTCAAAAAGTCAAAAATCGATTAATTTTTATTATTCCTGGTACATATAAGTGGTAATTATTGATGCTATTCATCAACTTTTTTATTTTAAAGTTGGTTTTGATATCATGTTTACAGTAAAATACTTTAAGAGCGTGTTTTTATATAAACTAACGTAAATGAACTGTGTATTGTCAACACAGCGACGCCATATTAGATAAGCCACTTGCTTCGACCAATAGTGTTCATTTTAGAACTTAGCGAGGGAATTTGAAAAAAGACATATTAATGATTAAAATTGTTACTAAATACATTATATTTAAAAAAAATGCAGGAATGTTGTTATAGTAATAAAGTATACTTTAAAAAGTTTGGTAATATTTAGGGTCATATGGATATTGCCTATTATTCTATACATTATAGCACATTTTGTCGATTCTACAGTTATTTCTAATTTAAAGTGACTTTGTATTAGAATACAAACATACCGTATATACATATGCGGTCGTTCGATCTGTTCGTAGAAGCGCAGCACTCTGGTAGTGAGGTGCATGCGGTGCTGCGCGGCCGCGCGGTACTGCAGCAGCGCGTCCAGCTGGCGAGCTGCGGCCGCCACCAGCGCCGCGCCCGCGCCGCCCGCCCCGCCCTCGCGGCAGCGCGCGCCGCACGCCGACACGAAGCGGGCGCGCCACGCCCCGTCGCCCAACCCACGGGACGCGAGCACATCTACCTTGTCTATTAACTCGCTTTCTAGTGTACGGAGCGGGTTGTCACCTACAGAACATAAAATATCGTCATCAATGTCTGGAAAAGCCCAAGATATGGAGAACTGGACCTGGCCCACCCGCGGTTGTAGTGCCTTTGATAATGATGATATCGGTGTATTCTTTTGGAGATCCCGGAATGACCAGGTTTTAGTGAATCAAATCTTCACATACTATACACCAAGGGAGGGTATTTTTTGAAAATTTCTTCCTCATACCAAATGAAAAGTATTTGATGTCGGCTTAATTCTCCAAACGCGATTCTTGGAGGCTCATCAAAGTCGATTTCTTTTAAATCATTTTGGATTGTTATCAGCCAAGTAGTAGGATTTCCTATATGATTAATTTGTTTTTTTAAGATTAAATAGTATTTTAATCTAAAGACTGTATAATTAATAAATGCGTATTTATTCTACTCTTGAAGGATTTAAAGAATTTATCTGTTTTATGGATGAGCTATATGTCTATAGTAGAAATCTAAAAGCGATGATTAGACAATACAGTAATGGTACAATACAAGGCATAAGAATAGACACCGATTGACAATTTTATTTATAATCTGTTGAATTATTACGCTATTATAATAAAAGTAATAGTGATGGAATTTTTCATAACTAACTCGACTATGATTCTTGAGATATGATGATGAGTGTGGGTGATGTATATGTGATGTATGTGATGTGTGTGATGTATGGTGACGTACAGTTCTCCCCGCTGGCGAGGCTGTGCGAATACTCGGTGATCATCATGTCGTAGAAGAGCGGGATGGTGGTGTTGCGCACCTCGTCGTCCGGCAGGAAGCTCACCTCCAGGAACGGCCCCACCAGCGCCGGGATGAACGACCGCTTGTGCTCACCTGGAAACATCGACAAAGGTAGTTTTAACACAATTATACAGAAGTTACGCTAAGGACTAATGTCGTTTAATGGAATTCATTTATTGAAAAACACAGTAATGTAAGGAAATTGGAGTCTTGATACCGTTTTCTAGTTTAGTTATTTTAATGAATTCCTGTGGCTGTTCGTTCGTTTGTCACATTAAATGATTATCAATCTGGCAATACATGTTAAAGGAAATGGAAAGCGACCGCTGCCCACAAACATCCCCAATTTCGGGTGCGTTGCCTACCCTTCATTGACAGAGACGCACATAAAGAGGACATTTCCCTATGCATCTCTTCCACCGTCAAATTAACTTTTCCTTCCCATCCTGACCACCTAAAACAAGAGTGGAAAGGGAAAGGGACTAAAATTAGGCCTCCAGCACCACACTCATCAGACGGTACGCGGAAT